TCAGAAGTGGATGACAGCCCACGTAAAACCAGAACCACCTGAGGAGAAAGGAGATTTTATAGAGTGGAGCAGGGTACTGATATGTGTCATCTTAATCCAGCCAGCCTCATGGAAGACCTACATCCAAGGTGAAGCTGTGAAAATCTGACTTTCTCTCATCTAACATCAGCTGTGAGGAACCTTTCTAAGGAAACAGGCTTCCTTTCATCTGCAGGCTGGAGAGCCCTCTCCATCTCGCTCCCAGCTTCAGACTGGATCCATTAGTCTGGATCCAATGTGAATCTTCACAAACAAGCAAACAAAAGCTCCTAAACATCTGAAAAGATCCAGCTCTGCAGGGAGGCTGGGTTCACCATAGAGGTACGGAGAGGAGATATAGAGGAGGTTCAGAACAGCTCTTCAGCATCTAACGGAGCTAGGTGAGGTGAGATCTTAACCTTTGAGACTCCTTCATTTATATATTTCCACCAGAATGGACTAAAGAAAGAGGCTAAGGAGAGCTTCAGTTGGATTTTCTTTCTGAACCAATTGATCTTGGATAATTGGAAGAGAAGGTGGTTGAATGGAGCTTGATAGAAAAGTTTGGTTTAGGCCAGAGGTCTTCAACAGGGGGTCCTTGACCCCTTGGGGTTCCACAGAGGTACTGCATGGGGGTTGCAAAAGGTTTGGTTCATTAGACTTTTATTTTTATATTTCCCCTTGCAATTTCTTCCACTAATTGAAATGTCTTTAAATACACATTAACATGAATTCAACACACTGTAGTAAACAGATAAACAGATGTCCTTCAGTCATCAATGCTCACATTCAGCGACACACAGGAGCTCTTTCAAGCTGGGCACCATTTCATTCACAACACTTGACCCATCAACGAAGATTTCGAATCGGAAATACTTTAACAGTCCAAGGGCGAAGTTACTTTCGTTACATTATTCCATCTGTAATAGAGTGACTATAGGACCAGTTTGATATAACACAATTTCATCCAATATATATAATTAGGGCATCCCCGTTCCATCTCACCATCAGTTTGGGGGTCCTTGGCCTGGAAAACGTTGAAGTCCCCTTGTTTAGGCAACTGGACATGAAGTTTTCTAGAAGCCTTTACTGCAAAACTCTGGGTTCTTATATTTAGGGATGTCTAGATGATGGGATCCATGAAGCTCAAAATAAGTATTCGCGGATATATTTCCAGACAAACAAGAAGAGCATCATTATCAGTTATAAATAGTGTTGCACCGATACCAGTATCGGACGGGGCCCCGGTACTGCCCTAAAATGGTGGTATCGGTGTTGGCGAGTACCAACAAATAGGGCACCGATACCATTTTGAGAGCCATAAATGTATTCAACCATTGTCACCCACTCCTGGTAGGCAATAAAAAGTTCTACTGGATTCACTTTGTATTAGTTTTTTTCCTGCTTCACAAAGGTTGAGCTTGACAAAGCCATGATGGCAATTATTTTACATCATTATGGTATCGGTATTGGCCGATACTGCACAGCCAGGTATCGGGTATCGGTATCGGGGCCAAAAAATGGCATAGGCGCAACACTAGTTATAAACTGAGAGTCAGCCGATATTCAAGAACTTTTAGTACAGTGGTACCAAGAGTACCAAAAGAGAACCAGCAGGTTGGGATCCAAAAAAGAACTTAAAGAACCAAGTGTTGATATTCGCTTAAATTATAACGAACTGGGAAAAGATCCGAACCCTTAAACACCCAGTAGATGATCGTAATGAGGGCAGTTGAAGTGGGAAATGTTGGTGTTCTCTGAAGTGTCCAGATGCATTGTTGTTCCCAGCCGGTTGTTTAAAGTGAGGATGTGTTGATGGTTTCTTTTGGAGCTTCCTGTTGAAAGCAACTGTTCCTGCATTGGTCTAAGGATGTGCCGTTATACTGATTATGATTATGAGAATAGTGTCTTAAGGATTATTAAATTTTTGTCTGTCTGATGAAAAATGTCTGTTATTTATTTAGTGTCTCTAACTTGAAATGGTTTCTGTGGGTAAAACTGATAAATTTATGCAACCAGATATCTTGAAAGGAGTCAGCAGCTTTACAGTCGGCTGCTGTTATTCCTTATCTTGTTTCTGTTTGAGTACATTTCATGCCTTAACTTCTGAAGGATCAGAACCAGGACAGAAAAATCAGCGACACATCGAGACTACCGCTTATCTCTTCCATCCTGCACGTCTCCCAGATGGAGCAATAATCAGAGACGGGCGGTGCAGGACACGCTGGCGTCGCTCTAATCGGAGATCTTATGCGTCTCGTCCTTAGTGCCTGGGAGCATCTCAGCATCCCTAATGAAATCTGACCTTGATCTCTGGAGAAACAACAGGTACGCTTCTCCTCTCTGGATCTTCTGTCAGATGGAGATCTTTGGTCCCAGAATATTCAGGATGAAGCTTCAGCTCCTCCAGTTTTCCTGGACCTTCTCATCTCTTGTTAATAAGTTATTGAAATAATGATTTGCAGCATCAAATATTCAGCTGTGCTGTTTTTGTCTTCTTCAGTCAAAGTTTATAACTATATTTAGTTAAAGTTTGGATGAAAGGCAATCGGCTTCTCCGCAGGAAAAGGGTAGATGGAGCTCCTGATTCCCAAATAGGAGTTGCTGGACTACTGAAGCTGTTCTGCAGAGATTCCATTTGGACCCTGAAGGTTCTGAACAACATGACAGAGAGTGCAGCTACCCACCTTTGAGGAGTCAGACTGATAAACAAAGAAAATTACCATCAACTCAGAGAGTAAAACCAAGAATCCTTGGAGTGAATTGTGTTCTTTAATTGTTTTTTTTGTTGTTTTTTTTTGCATTTTAAATTTTCTTTTTTTTTTTCAATGTCTCTTTTCTTGCAGGTTTTCCTCTGGATTGAGGAGCAAAGATGCATTTCTATTGATCTTAGTTAGGAGAGTGTGATCTTTAAAACGCAGTTTAAAGAGAAGGCAATTTGTAAAAATCTGAAAAACTGACATTTGAACAAATAAAATTTCTAAATATTGAATCTGTTAACAACAAATTTGAAAAACAATATGTTTGAAAAGATAAAATATGAAAAACAAATTTGTTGATTTCTTTGATTTTAAGAAATTAACAAAGTTACTCTCTTAAAAACATTCCTTTAAATCATGACCTTTTATTAAAGTTTCATTTCTGGATTTTATATTTTAATTTCGATTTGCAAAAGGTTTTTTCTTTTCTTGCAACATTTAAGGAACAAAAATCATTCCAAATGGAATTAGAGTTGCTCCAAACATGGAGCTAACAGAGTGGCGCCCCCTAAAGGCAGTAGAAATAGGTACAACCTCCAACCTGCTACCATCTCCTGATTTGTTAAGATGGAGGAATATTTTCCACAGACTGAACTGTTATATCTGAGGAACCAAGCAGGTGGTCCTTCGGACAGAACCAGCTCTTATCATCAGAAGCAGCTCTGGTCTTCCTTTATGACTCGCCTCCTGGTTTGTTTCAGATGATCACATGACCTTCTGGCAACTGTGACATCAGAGTTTATCAAAGACATAGATTAGAAACAACCTCCTGCTTAGTGCTGATAAGACAATGATGAGGAGGAAGAGGAGGAGAGGAAGGGGGAGGAGGCCTCTGACACGGGAACCTCTGATTTCTCGCCTTATTTGTTGGATGTTTCAGTGTCAAAGACATTAAAGTTAATGGGTGGATGCTGCCCATCCGCCACAGACAAGATGTCTTCTGCTTATTTAACCATAGACAGTCTTTAATTCTGAGGAGCCTAGAGAATCAGCCTCAATGATTTCTCAACTGGAGGAACTTGTCAGATTTCTCTGTGATGTTGTTTGAATGCCAATGAAAACATCTTCCCCTCTGCGTCTTACTCGGGGTCTCTGGGTCTGTAGCAGAGCAGCTTTATATGCCATTTTGTACCATCCATGTGCTGATGGTGGTTCTGCAGTTCAGCTGTCTGACCTGCAGAGCAGCTTATGTCTCATTTCATCCCTCAGAGACAGGCCGTCTCTGAACCCTGAGCCTTAATCACCAGCTTAAGGGCTGTGAGATTATCCTCAGCTATAGAGATCAGGGGACATGTTGGATTCTCTGTGGACCCTTATGGATTTTTAACACAGAGACGTCTTGTCAGGATCAGTTCAGCTGCTGGGAAACTCTCTGAAACAGCCAGCTGAATTATTGATCAGCTGACAGCAGAGGCTACGACGAAGATACTCTTTAAATCTCACCTCAGGTCAGTCTGCTTGCATTGATGAAGCTGCTTTTACTGCAGGGCTTTCGATGGATGGATGGATGGATGGATGGATGGAGACAGAATCTTGCTACAATCTAGAACCATCAGCATCAAATAGATATAATAACATACAAAAAATAAAACATCTGTCAGTTTCTCTGGCCTGTTTGTAAATATTCACGATGTTTTATAATTCCAGCTTTTGCAGTCAAACTTTTCATTTTATCTGATTGGATGGACAAAATGAACCAGACTTAACATCATAGGAGGACCCCCTCCATATAAATGCTCCTCTAAAAGAGAACCCAGAAGTCATTACCTGCAGCCAGACTGTCAGATCATTTAGGACTTGTGCTTCAGCGTTGCAGGCATGAATCTGAGGCAGGGGATTGAGTCCCTCAGTTAAAGTCCTTCACGTAGATGTCGTACCTCCTATAGAGCCAGGTTACTTTGCCAACAAACCTCATAAAGAGTTGTGATAAAGATTTTATTTTGCCCAATGGTCTTCAAACAACTCCCAAACTTTTCTGGTTCAAACTGCCTTTGGCTGCAGACATTAATACAATTTCTTTGGGGAAGGTATCGTCAAAAAGCCAGACATTAGCCACCCTGGGTTTGGGGTACAGCTAGAGTTTATTTCTCTCTTACCACAATTCTCTTTCTTCAATAAGAAGTTCCTACAGTTTGCCCTGAAATATGGCGCCTAACACCCAGAACATATGAGCAAGAAAAAACTAATTTCTGATGATCTCTGAACTCCTGTTGTTTCTTTCAGATGGAGGAACTACAGTGGCCTCGGGGCGAGCTGGAGATTCCCAGCTCCGTGTGCAGCCTCCCCTGCAGAGCCGGAGAGAGGAAGAAGGTGGTGAAGGGGATGCCCTGCTGCTGGCACTGCGAGCCCTGCGATGGGTACCAGTACCAATCTGACGTGTTCAGCTGCAAGCTGTGCGCCTATAACATGAGGCCCAGCATGAACCGGACCTCCTGTCAGCCCATACCCATCATAAAGCTGGAATGGCATTCCCCTTGGGCAGTGATCCCAGTTTTTCTGGCCATGCTGGGGATCATTGCCACCATCTTCGTCATGGCAACCTTCATACGCTACAATGACACTCCAATTGTCCGGGCATCTGGCAGGGAGCTGAGCTACGTTCTCCTGACTGGAATATTCCTGTGCTACATTATCACGTTCCTGATGATTGCTAAACCTGATGTTGGCGTTTGCGCATTCCGCAGGATTTTCTTGGGTCTAGGAATGTGCATTAGCTACGCAGCCCTGCTCACAAAGACCAACCGCATCTATCGGATCTTTGAGCAGGGCAAGCAGTCTGTGACGGCACCGAGGATGATCAGCCCCACCTCCCAGCTGGTCATCACCTTCAGCCTAATCTCTGTGCAGCTACTGGGGGTGCTGATCTGGTTCGGGGTGGATCCACCCAACATCATCATAGACTTTGATGAGCAGAGGACCACAAACCCCAACCAGGCTCGAGGGGTGTTGAAATGTGATATTACGGATCTACAGATCATCTGCTCTTTGGGTTACAGCATCTTACTGATGGTGACATGTACTGTTTACGCCATAAAGACCCGTGGGGTCCCAGAGAACTTTAATGAAGCCAAACCCATTGGCTTTACTATGTACACCACCTGCATTGTGTGGCTGGCCTTCATCCCCATCTTCTTCGGCACGGCTCAGTCTGCAGAAAAGGTAGGACCCTCTTTATATCTCAGAAAGCTTCCATCAGTGGCTCTACATCCATAGACCTCTGAGCTCTAGCTAAGTAAAAGAGCTCTTGTTCAAGACTCAAACACCAAACCATGTTTGGATTATGTTTATGTTTGTATGACCCTCCTGATAATAATGATTTTCCTATAGATAAATTTTGTCTTTTGGAGGCCCCAGCCCTTTGGTCAAAAAGGCAGGACCCTAACTCTCCTTAAATAACTAATCGAGTTCCATATGCACTGCCTAGATGTTAATAAGATGAAATAAAGCACAGGGTAGGAGTGAATCCCAGCTTATACTTAGGATCTCCATCTTTTTATGTTCAGGTTTGGCCTTAAATCAATGTTACTGCCTAGTGCTGGTTTAATGTGTCATCTTTCGACAACATTCCCGACTTTCTGTCTGGATGGAAATCATTTTTTATTTATTCTATTCAAGTGAAGCAAATATACAGTATTTGGAACACACAGAACCTCATGTGGTTCAAACAGAACACGACGACCAGGATGTAAAGTTGTTTTCCATCAGATAGAATAAGAGATGGAAAGAAATGCGTAGGTGCATTTGTAAACACAATGTGATTTCTTTACTGAAATGTTACTTTCGATCCAGGCACATTACAACATCTGATTATTGGGGCAGTTTTCATCTTTTGTTTTCTTCTTCTTCTTTAATACTAGTTGTATTCGTAAATTTGAGATTCGTTCTTGTACTTTTGCAAAAGTTGTAACTCTATACCTTCTATTTGTTACTGCTAAACTAGTATTTTCCGATATGAAACATCTGATGTCATATATATGAGCAAGTTGATGACAAGGAACAAATGGTAATTTTAAATGTATTCACATTTATTGACTACATGTACAAATTCAGACACTTATGTATACATTTTTATTAACCCTTATCTTATCCCATTGTACGCACACCAGAAAGGTCCTTTGGTCTGTTTTTTTTTTTTTTTTTGGTCTGGATTAATAGCAGACTTACATATTCACACCAAAACAAAAGGTTTGGATCAAGGTGGGAAACAATTTCCTTTCAAAGTGAATCAAAATATGTCAGGTGTAAATACATCCTAATTCATTTAGGCAACCAGTATATCCAAAGCCACCAGAGGGCAAGGTTGATGCTTTTATCAGGCAGTTACCTGATCTCCTGACAGTGGACCAAGTGGAGGTCAGGAAGTGCCTTGTGGATGGACTTGCAATCATCAAGATGGTCTAGTATGCTAAATGTTTTGAGTATTTCTTTTTTTACAGGACAATTGTCTCTGTTTCTGTAGCAACATTCTGAGTTCTATAGGTTTCATGGGTGATTCTGGTTCAAAGTTTTTACATAGCAATTTAAACAGGCTTAAACTGGTTTCTAACTCAGTGCTTAGTTACTCATGTTGCTCATCACTTCTGCAACTGCACACATCTAATGGTGCTTGGGTCTGTTCGCGAACCAGTTTTGCTGGTATGCTTCTGCGCTGTTGGTCTGGAATTTCTAGGGACGCACTGCAGTTTCCTGCCAAAGAACAAGGGGGAGTCTAATTGAGAACTCGCGAGAACTTTGGTGACACCAGAGGGAGTGTTTATCTTCCAAAACAACAATGGCTTGTCTGAAAGATATCACGGTCACAGAGATGGATCTAGATTTGCTAGACATCGAAGAGGAACAGGTTCTGTTAATGGAGTTGGCAAAAAGACCAATTAACCTTTCGTCGTAGATGACAATTGTAGTTGTTCCTCGGTTTTTAAAAATGGCATGCCACGGCATCGAATCAAGAAGGACAACCACACAGACAGCCGGCAGGACATACCAAGGAACAATCACAGCTGCTTTTTGTCTGCGCACTTCCGCTTGAGGTCTGCACGAGTTTGCGATCGTCCGATGCGTAGTCAAGATTTTTTTGAGGTGCGCAACAACAGTTGCAGAACCTCTGCACAGAGACAGATTTGACGGTTGCAGAGGCTATGCATCAGAAGCATAAATTGGCCTTTACTTGATGGTTTTAGTTTCACTCTCTGCTCCCTTTTCCTCCACTTAAACCTATTTAGCATCCTACTGCTTTTTTTGTTCTGACGTGTTTCCTGATAGATACAAACCAGGCCAAGTAGTTTTACATCAGAATTTATGCTTTTAGCTCAAGTGCTAGAAACCCTATTCCCCCAGCCGCTGCTGATTAAAGTGCTGCTGCAGAGTCTCGGAATGGGTCAGAAGCTCTGAATTAGTGTATGTGTATTTATTATAGTTCATTTGGACATATCTGAATGCAGCTCCAAAGTCTCAGCTTTTTTTTTTTTTTTCTATCAGCTTTCATCTCATTCGACAATAGGAAACTGGACCAAATAGTTTTGATGGTCTCATGTTCTCTCCTCTGGGAAGGCTGAGGAACATCCCATGAAAGCAACATAAGACCATTTGTTTCAGCAGAAAGCTTGTTGGACAAATCAGAACAGAGATCCTTAAGTTTCCTTCCTCTAAGCACTACAAAAAAAACGGTTTGATTTGACCCAACTGGGCTTCTGTCTTTAACTTTCTGTGCTCTGCCCAGCAGGGGGAGCACCTCTGCAGCTTTAATGTTCAGGAAGCTTTAATGAGGTTTACCTGATCTGTCTTTGACTTCACATACACTCACCGGCCACTTTATTAGGTACCCCATGCTAGTAACGGGTTGGACCCCCTTTTGCCTTCAGAACTGTCTCAATTCTTGGTGGCATAGATTCAACAAGGCACTGGAAGCATTCCTCAGGGAGTTTGGTCCATATTGAAATGATGGCATCACACAGTTGCCGCAGATTTGTCGGCTGCACATCCATGATGCGAATCTCCCGTTCCACCACATCCCAAAGATGCTCTATTGGATTGAGATCTGGTGACTGTGGAGGCCATTTGAGTACAGTGAACTCATTGTCATGTTCAAGAAACCAGTCTGAGATGATTCCAGCTTTATGACATGGCGCATTATCCTGCTGAAAGTAGCCATCATAAGTTGGGTACATTGTGGTCATAAAGGGATGGATATGGTCAGAAACAATACTCAGGTAGGCTGTGGCGTTGCAACGATGCTCAATTGGTACCAAGGGGCCCAAAGAGTGCCAAGAAAATATTCCCCACACCATGACACCACCACCACCAGCCTGAACCGTTGATACAAGGCAGGATGGATCCATGCTTTCATGTTGTAGACGCCAAATTCTGACCCTACCATCCGAATGTCGCAGCAGAAATCGAGACTCATCAGACCAGGCAACGTTTTTCCAATCTTCTATTGTCCAATTTCGTTGAGCTTGGGCAAATTGTAGCCTCAGTTTCTTGTTCTTAGCTGAAAGGAGTGGCACCCGGTGTGGTCTTCTGCTGCCATAGCCCATCTTCCTCAAAGTTCGACGTACTGTGCGTTCAGAGATGCTCTTCTGCCCACCTTGGTTGTAACCGGTGGTTATTTGAGTCACTGTTGCCCTTCTATCAGCTCGAACCAGTCTGGCCATTCTCCTCTGACCTCTGGCATCAACAAGGCATTTCCGCCCACAGAACTGCCACTCACTGGATGTTTTTTCTTTTTCGGACCATTCTCTGTAAACCCTAGAGATGGTTGTGCATGAAAATCCCAGTAGATCAGCAGTTTCTGAAATACTCAGACCAGCCCTTCTGGCACCAACAATCATGCAACGTTCAAAGTCACTCAAATCACCTTTCTTCCCCATACTGATGCTCGGTTTGAACTGCAGGAGATTGTCTTGACCATGTCTACATGCCTAAATGCACTGAGTTGCCGCCATGTGATTGGCTGCTTAGGAATTAAGTGTTAACGAGCAGTTGGACAGCTGTACCTAATAAAGTGGCCGGTGAGTGTAATTTCACATGAGGTCAAAGGTAGGCATCGTCATCCACAAGGGACAATTTGCTATGTAGACAGAAGTCAAATAAAACAAGCAAAGAAAAAAGAAAGTTTGGCTTTATCCTCACTACAGATGTTTAATATGTCCTTGGCTTTGGATTAAAAGTGGCCAGCAGATACTTAGAAGACCAGACTTAATAAAACAAGAAACAAACATCCCCATACAACAGAAACTGACATTAAAGGCATGAAGCTTTCCATAAAAAGGCATCTACTGTCACCAGAACCTCAACAGGTTGATTGCAGATTTGTACTAAATAGACCAATTTGGGTCCATTTCCAAATAACTATGCACATGTTTTTGTTTTGTTGTTTAATTTAATTATAAAAGCAGCTTTTCAGTTGAAGCTGCCCCCAGGAAGCCAGCAAATCACATCAGTCTAGTCGACTGAAAGCGGTTTGTCGTTGTACCTGCAGATGTCTGTGTTTCCAGGCAGGACTGAGCTGAATTTGCTTTGCTTTGTTGGAGGATCTGAAAGATTCTGGCTGCTTCAGCAGCAGCTGGTGACTCAGTGAATATGGGAGCAGAAGCCTGAGGCAGCAGAATATCTGAGACTGAATCAGAATCCGGAAAGCAGAGTGTTTACCTGTTATCTCTTTGCTTTACTCAGACTTTACTCTCCTCAGCTGCTGACATTCAGCCAGATCTGAAGCTTTAATAAGTCAAAGAAATAAGCCTCGGTGTGTTGAACAGATTTACGCTGTTTGATGCAGCCTGGAGACCGATTTGCTGAATGGTTGGGAGAGTTTTGGATGAGAAGGCAGCAGCAAACTCCCACTGATCCATTTTAGTGAGAGCGAGCAGAGAGAGTTGTGTTAATAAAAAACTAGATCAGAACAGTTGAATCTAACATCACCTCCTGCAGGAAAGTCATCTGAGTCTGAAGTCACAAAGATCTAAACACAGCAGTGAGAGAAAAGAAACTGAACAGAACAAGGAGTCAGAAATAGGTCTGAACACTAGTGTCCACCACATGAACAGCAGCTCCCCTAGTCTGAGCAGAGGATTTAAGAGACCTCCTCCAACCCTAATGTCTGTTGGACGGCAGGAACAGTTCCTCTTAGACAGTATAGGAAAACTGTAGCGGGAAGATGGAGA